CCTACAACAAAACTTGACAACGATATTTAATTTCAAAATTTGCATTTTTTTATGTCATTATAGACATGTTTTGAGTATCAATTAATAAAGTTAGCATAATTCAAGGAAATAAGAAATAAGCGTAAATGAAGTGCAGCAAAACATATGTATAATTTAATAGCCATACAAAGAATAAAGTCATACAGTACAAAGTCTGTGATCGGGACTTCAGGAATTCCGGATTTGGGAATTTTCCAGATATTAGATCATCAGTTTAAATCTAGTAAGATGGCATGTAGAAATAAAAAAATTAAAAAAAAAAAAAAGAAAAGAAAGAAAGATGGTAATGAAGCATTTATGATCTAAAGGGTATCAAAATTTTCAAAAAAAAGCTTAATATTTATTTGTTTACTTTATTAAACGTTTCTTTCAATGTAAGTTGTTTACGTTGCTTCTTTTTTTGTGCTAATGTTTTCTCTTTATTTCTATAGACAGATGTAATTTCTTGTTCAGTTACAAAGTTCCATTGTTCAAGTCCTGTAATTCCTGTGTCAAGCATTCTGACTGAGTTGTCAATCGAAATTTTTTCATTGTCAGTAACCTCTTTGTCACTTTCTTCACTATCGGTTGCGATATTTTCTGGATCTAGAACCATACAGATTCTGCCATCTGTTAATTGATTCATGATTGGGGTTTCATTGCAATAAAAAATTTCTGTTATATTGTTTTCATTTATTACTGCTTCTCTAAATTTCTTTACGAAATCCATTAATTGGAAAATTTCACCTTTGGTTTGCAGTATCCGAAAATCTTCAGATTCGCGGCTATCATCTTCATCATCCTACTATGAAATATGGTAGCTGGCCGTAAGTTATGCCAAGCACTTTAAAAATTATCTGGAGAAACATCCTCCCGCGGTCTTGCGATGCTTCACACAGCAGATTTTATGCTAAAACATTCCTGAATAATCTTGCTATTGTTCAAGAAATTTAACATGGATTTTAAAAATGCTTCTTTATATTTGCATTTCAGCACATGCACTTGCTGTATGAGTCATTACTCAAGTTGTTATATGCTAATAAACATGTGGTGATGGAAGCAAAATATAATAAATAACGATTTGATTCGCCAGATTGGCATTAGAAATATAAAATATTAGTAGTGTAAAATCAACGATGTTTCTACGTAGAATGTTTCAGTTTGAGATGTATGCCAAGCAGATATGCAGCTACTAAACCAAATTTATCACACAAATTTATGCTAAAATAATTGTTTTTTCAATTACAAGGTATTTTATTTAATGCCGAAGTGAAATTAAGAATTGGAACTCTCCTCATGTTTTGTTGTGGGAGGGAAAAAAATCAAGTGCGCATGCGTAAATCATACAAAAAAAGAAATTATTGGTGGCTTTGAGGTCTGGATATTGGACGTCCACTTGAGATTTTTTTCAATTATTTTTTCAAATTAATGATGTTTTTAAACAGTTTTTCTAATTGTATTTTCAATACCTTTTTAATTAATTAATATTGTGAAATTAATACCAGTTCGATTTCCATTTTTCACCGCATTTTCTTTTTCAAAAAATATTGCAACTCTATTCTTGCTTTTTATATTTCCTTTTCTCCAACTTCACAACTGCAACTCAACTCGATTCTTTCTCTGAGACAATTATGAAATGTTACTCACTAATATTCTTTCTTCTTCTTCTTCTCTCTCTTTCTTTCTTACTTTTTTTTTCCCTTCATTTTTCTGCCTTTATTTTTCAAATTAATTTATTTGAAATGATTTATTCAATTTTATTTTCCCAGTTTCCAACTTACTACATTTGAAGCATATAACTTTCATTTTAAAAGAGTGGTTTTAAAATGAAATTAATTAATTAAAGTTTTTTCAGCAGTTCTGCTTTTTGTTTGTTTGAAATTTAATTAATATTTGTGTAGCCCTTTGCTTTTTATATTTGTTTAGCACATTACTTTTAATATTTGTTTGTCTTATTGCTCTTGATTTTTCGCATTGGAAATTCTTTTGCTATCTTTACACAAACACACACCAATAATTCATAATAAGAAAAATTTCTAAATACTATCTCCAAGGAACAGAAATTGAATTGAAAACCGTTAAAGAAGAAACTTTTTTGTCAGTATTTTATTAGGATTTTAAATTGGTGCTTTCTAGACCTCCTATGCTTTAAAAATATAAAATTCTGCAAAGAAAAATCTTTAATTGCAAATATACCAAAATCAAAAGTAAGTCAAATAAAAAGTAGCTCTTGTAATTGATCACAGATTAATTGACTTATCAAGGTGATGAACCAATCTACCATCAATTAAAAACAGCTAAATTAAGAGAGAGTGTTTCCAATCTACCATCAATTATAACTAAATTAAGAGAGAGTGTTTCATCTTACTTCAAAGTAAGTATCGAATTTTTCACTAGATCCAAATCATATGTCATAATTAATGCTGAATCAAAATAAAGACATTAGTCCATTTAAGCCAAAAGAATCCTGTTAAACAAAATAACTAGCAAAAAATTCTTTAAAATTAAAGTTGCTCATTAAGAACATAACTAAACAGGATGCTTACTTTAAAAGATATATCCTCTACTTGTCTCATTTTCAAACTCAAATACAAAAGTATAAATTTAGGACATTCAAAATTGATTAGAAATCATAAGAACAACAAAATATTTACATTCCTTTTGATTTATTTACCCAAAGATTCAAATTTTGTATTAATTTTGCAAATAACCTACATATTTTGATATATCCTTTGATTTTTCTGTTTCTTACTGGAGAATTTTTCTTTTTCATTTTTTGAGGTTACATCAGAGCAGGTTATGCCTTGATTAATAAAATTTATTTTTAATTTACTTAGTTGCAATTTTGAAACACTTTAATTATCTTAATTTTAACTCAGTTTTCTTAGTTGGCATTTCCTACAATTTTTAAATGTATCCAGTTTTAAAAATAGTCTAGATATGATTCAGAAACGTGGTTCTGTTGAAATTTCTTTTGCTGCTACTTGAAAAAGACAAGTAATTTTCAATAGTGTTTTTTTTTTTTTTTTACCAAATTTTCTTTGAATTGTTTTTGCATTTTGGAATACAGTACAAAGGTTGAAATCATCGGGACTTTGCGATTCCGGATTTGGGATTTTTCCGGATACTAAATCATGAGTTTAAATCTAGTAAGATGGCATGTAGAAATTATAAAGTTAAAAAAAATGAAATCGTGATTTATGAAATAATGAAGCATTGATCTAAAGGGAATCAAAATTTCCAAAATAAAATTCACAGCTATCATCATCAAATTTAGTTATCGTTCACTATACATATTTGGCTATGCATCATGAGCTTGACGACTAACGACAAGTTCCATTAAATTTTATCTTGCATCTATCGGGCACTAAAACAATTAAGCCTGAATTGTGTTAGTTTAGTCTATTATACTTATGTCTATTTCTTGAACATGATTCTTGGCTTATCAGAGTTCTGAATAAATAAATTCCCTTGTATACTTATTGAGGGTCGGTGCTAGATATTTTATCGCCTGATGCAGTCTCTGGGACCTAAATTCTGCGACCCGGTGCGGCCATACAAGCCGTGGCGCTGGTTCTGGGTTTATGTGAATAACAAATCAGTTATTCTTAATTCAAATAGCCCTAAATGTTATCTTTGAGTCTATGAATATCATCAACAAAATCTATTTTTAGCATATCAAAAGAAATTAGTGGTACATTTTTCCTCGTCAACATAAAAGGTTTACTCCTTTATTATTCAATTACTAACATAAGAAACCCACTTGACAAAAATCACACTGAATTTGCAGAAACTGACTTAATTCACTTATTCTGTTAAGTTTCAAATGTAAACAAGTATAGCTGCTATGTTAAAAAAATTAGGCACTTAAACATGGCCACTTTATGCCGCACTTAAACAACAATTAAACAAAAAATATACATTTTACCAACATGTAAGAATAAAAAAATGAGCTTACGCAGCCGAATAACTGAGTGGATATATATATACTTTTGGTGCAGCAGATTGCAAGTGCACAACTACATCTTATAGCAGTCTTGTATACAAAATTTTAATGTTCTGAGGCTAGTTGTTTTTGAGTTATGCAAGATACATACATGCATACATACATACAGACATCATGAAAAAATCTTTTTTGAATCCATTTTAAATCCTTTTTGCAACCCGAAAAATAATCCTTTATTCTGTTCTTACGTACAGATGTAAGGAAAAAAATTGTTAAATTGCATTTGATAGTGGTCATTCTTCCATACATGGAAAAGAGCCTAACATCTTTAACATGGTTTAGGCCATTGATGGCATATCTGTGACATGCATATCGTTAGTGACCCATGTATTCATTTTGCGTGACCTGCATTACTTACTTCCAGAACTCTAGATGAACACAAATGATTGTGTATTACAAAACTCTTTGTCTTTTGCATTATCAACATGTGTAAACTCTTGTCATTATCAACATGTGCTACACTTGCCTCAGGTGCCTTCATCTGCATTCTTGGCAGATGGATGGAACAGGTGGCAAATGGATTCTATATGCGACACAGCACCAGAGTTAAGCAAGAGTTTTTCCAAGTTTGAGTCACCAAGCTCAAAAGATTCGCCATCTTTAGGTTAGGCTGATAAGGATCTATAGTCAAAACTTGATGAAATCCTGGACAAAATTACAAAACGTATTTTAGTCAGAGAAATCTGTTTGCTGTATCCAATTACGTATATTTGAAAGTTTGCTATCGTCATATAAAATGATATTAAGCATAAAGGAAATAGAATGTGACTCAAAAGTTTGTTGTTATATTTAGTTGTTCATTGTAATAGAGTTTGACTGTACTTCAAACATGTTAGAAAGTCTTAAAAAGGGAAATGATGTAAGTTTTATTTTAATACTAGACATAATTTTAAAAAGTAGTTTTAAACACATAAAAATATGTTTTTTGTATAATTGAAAATTTTGAATTATATAATTGAAAATTTCTTTTTCACAGGAAATGCACAACTTGCAGTCTGAAATTAAAACCTTGTCTGAAGAAGATCAGTTGACAAAAAAACTGTTATCAGAGCAAGAATTTCGACTGTTGGCAGCGACAGAAAAATTATCAGAGACTGAAATTGAATGTGCTGAATTAAAAAAGCAAGCTGTTGCTATGAAAGACATGTGTGAAATTCTGAATAAAGAAAAAGAGGCGGCTTTATCTGAAATTCATACTAAAGAAGAGGTAATGTGTCAAACTTTATTGTTATTAATACCTTAGCAGGTGTGATTTTCACTATGTGCAAAAAAAGCTTTTCCACTGAGAACTGTTGCAAACCTTCACTCCATGACATCTATCAATAGAAATTTTTTAGCTGGCCTGTTATTACATGCTGTAATAGCTGGCAGTCTATGTGCAGTCTATAAATAGGATGTGTTGCTAACTTACCCACATTCTACAAATAGAGATATTAGTGTAACTTACACATTTCATAAATACAAAGTTTTAAGTGCTAAACTTTTAAGTGTTGAGCTGGAATCTGAAAAATTAGATTTGAAACAAATTTCCTTTACCCACTAATTATTTAGATTTAATAATTTCTATATATCTTTATTAGATAATAGTTACATTCTAAAAAAGTGCTTAATCTTGTTTTTAAAATACTTGTATTGATTAATTGAATTATGTTTTCATTTAATGCAAAATCACTCTCTACATTGTTCTATAGAAGTTACATTAAAGTACCTAGAAAAACTGAATTACATTTTTCTTGTACCAAAATTGATTTATTAATGTTATATTTTTCTTGACCAAACATACTTGGTTCACAAAACGATTGAGATCAGATTGAAAGGTGTCATTCTTGCTGATATTTACATGTTTCTGAAATTATATAAAATATTAATTTCCAGTTTGCGTCTGCTATTTGATGGTACACTTGCTTTAATTTCAAAAAAAGAACTAACTTAAGTTCTCCTTGTCGTAATCCAGATGTCTGAATATCTAGATCCTGCTATTCAATTCAATTTTTAATGCAAGGTATCTAATTCTCTTCCATTTCTCAACATTCTAGATACATGCAGTTAATCTAATTTCTGTATTACTGCATATCTTAAACCTTGCTTGTCAGTCCATATCCTGTCATTCTACTAAGCAAAAATTAGCATATTTTTGCTTATTCATTTACATTTAACTATGTTAATTTCTTCAGGTCAGCTGTTACTCAGCAGCTCAACTTTTTACTTGGGCATTAAAATTGTAATGCTGGCAAGGGCAAATGACAACACAGCTAAATTTATTTCATAAATTATTTATAATACAAAGATAAAATCATTGAAATTTCACATATATCGGACAAGTGTTTTAAGTCCATTCTTAAATGTGGCCCCTGTGAGTAACAATTACTTGCTGTATAGCAAAGCATAAATTGGAAAGACTTCAGATGATATTTTGGGATATTGCAGTTCATGGAGCCAGAATTCATTTGTTTTAGCTGCTGATAGTCTTTGCCATGTCAGTTTGCGTGACACCATAGATGTGATACATTCATTCAAGAAAATATCTGATGAATGCATTGGCTAAAGTAGAGTAATTTGTACAGTCAAAAGTCGTTAATCCGGACACCAATAATCCGGAATGATCTATAATCCGGACCTCAAAGCTACAAACTTTCTGTGCATGCGTCAACGCATAATGTGTTCACGCATGCACGCAATACTTTGACACATGTGCATATGCATGTGCGCATGCGCATAATACGTTTACGCATGCGCGTTTAATGTATAACGGACAGTAGTATAAGCTAAGCTAAAATTATCTATTTCAGTTAATGTTGCAGATTGAGTTGTTCCTTAATCTTCGAATTGGATTCGACTTATTATTTTTGCAGACTGTTAGAGCAATTTTATAAAAGTAAGCTTGAACTTTGATAATGCCAAATAGAATTTCCAATGTTGGAGCTGCCGAAGGATCAACAAAGCGAGAGTATGTTTTGTTGTCCATCAAACAAAAAGTGGAATTGCTGCAAAAAATGGATAAAGGCATATCCTTTGTTTCTCTAACCATTCTGAAATCTGTTTATCAATTTCACGCTGCTCTGCAGGGGGGGGGGACATTGCGGCGCGCAATGAATTGGAAGTTGATCTGTCAGCGCTATCTTTATCTTCAGGGCAGATGTTTTTATTTTATTTGGCTTATAATTCCTTACTAAATGTAGTATTTCATCCCGATGTACTCCGTCTTTGATATGATTTAAATCAAATTCCTCGTCGTTATAATTCGCTTCCGATAGTGAAGAAAGTGACACAGAGGTTATTGAAAACGAAAAAATTTCGATTGACAAATTAGTCGGTATTCTAGACACAGCAATTATAGGACTTGAACAGCGGAACTTTGTAACTGAACAAGAAATGATGTCTGTTTATAGAATTAAAGAGAAAGTATTATCACATAAAACGAAGCAACTTAAACAACTTACATTGGAAGAAATATTTAATAAAGTAAACAAATAAATATTAAGCTTTCATTTTTTGTAAATTTTGATACCTTTTAGATCATTATTGTTCTTTATTTCATAAATTACTGTTTCATATTTTTAATTTTATAATTTCTGCGTGCCATCTTACCAGATTTAAACTGATGATCTATAATTCGGAAAAATCAATAATCCGGAATCACTGAAGTCCCGACGAGTCCGGATTAAAGACTTTTGACTGTATATCAATGAAGCATTAAATGTTGAGTGCAATGATTGTTCGTGCATTTTCCTGTTAGAAATTGGCTCTGTGATATGTCTGAAGGTATCAGACAACCATGGGCTATAAACGTCTGTAGTGTAATGCTGATTGTTCAGAGAGCTAGGTATGTGTATCAGACATAAGCAAGACTTATTCAGTCACATCCTCTAACATAACTTCCAGTACTACCTAGATTCAGAAGGCAAGATTCTAGTGAATATTGTGCACAGTGGTACCATATGTAAATGCATGCTCATATTTCATGCACAAGCAGAATTAGCCTGAGAAGATAATGTCATACCACTCATGCATCCATATGAATCATTAAGTGAGCATTGTAGCTACACACATCTGTGCTATATAATTAAAGGTAAGCAAAGCAGTGACCACCTTGTGAACTATCTGTGCCCCTCAAGATGATGTCTCATTATGTATGCAAACAGCATACAAACATCTCTCTCAGCTAAACACTATATTTTCTGCATGTGATATAGTTGTATGTTCTGCATAAATCATTTGTACAAGGATTCTGTTATGTTGAGATCTTTGTAAACCTGTATGTGTCTCCATTGCCCTTCTTGGACCCATCTTTTATTTTGGATATTTTTAAAATCAAAAGATTGTATATTGACAGAAAATCCACAGGCTTTATTTGCTATTTTCCCTTGCATTGATGGTACTTATATGGCTTTGAGAATTTTGGAAATCTTGAGGATGACATTCTTCAGTGTTTAGCTACCTGAAGAACTCTATTAGTAATGGATTTCAAGATTCATGAATAGGCCTTTATTTGGCATTTCTTCATTGAGTACAGCTTGAAACAAAATGATATCCTCTTGGCCTGTCTAAAAAAAAATAATTTAATTTCTAAAATGTAACATATTTTGTCTTCTGTAAAAGGAAAAAGTTTAGGAAGTAATTCAAGTTGTGAGGATCATTCTCAACACCAGTGAACAGGGGCGTAGCTAGAGGTGGGCAAGGGGGGCATCTGACCCCGGGCGCAGAATCCAAAGGGGCGCCAAACTGATGTTATGACATTTTAGAATTAAATGTTTTCCATCCTTGGCAAGCAGTAGGGGGCGCGAAATCTTCAGTCGTCCCTGGGCGCTGAAAATCCTAGCTACGACTCTGCCAGTGAAACAGAAAAGAGGGTAAATCAAGAGCATGAAAAGCTTTTATTGGCTGGTAACAGTAGATTCTTAGAACATTATTAAAATAAAAGGATGAATTAGATATTTGCTTTGTATATATCTCATCAGAGTTTATGGCACTACATTAGCAAATTGGATTGTGGCCACTGAAATCGCCAATAATAATGAAGTATGCTGGCAACGGCTGTATAAAATCACCCAAATCCCAGTATTTGAGCCGTTCATTCAGAAATTGACACAGACTTAATTATTAAATAGGCACAAGCATCATTAAGTGAAATTAAGGTTATTCAGTGTGTCTGTATTTAAACTGTTTCAATAAAAGGATGGTCAAAGAATAGTTGTGTGATAAAAAAAAAAGCTACACTTTAGCTAACTCAGTCATTATATAGACAATGTCAGGGCCAAAAATTTTGCATTGTTCTTTCCCTAAAAAAACTCTGCCAGTTAAGTCTGAGAAGCAGACCTTAAGCTTGGCTTCAATAAATCTTTTCATAAATTCTACATGCAATCAGATTTCACTATAAGAAAAATTGAAGGAAAATTTCAGTTTGTTATCTGAAACCATAAATGATTGAAAATAAATTAAACTTTTGGAATATGTTAATAGCATAATTGTTATAAAGATCTATTATTTATATAGCATCAGTCTTCCCCCTTGTCAATTAACTGAGCTTTATCACATATATCTTCGAAAATTTTGATTACAAAACTGTAATTTTTTGCAGGTATGTTTAGAATTACGTCTATTTTAAGATGATGGTAAACATTTTATAGATTATAATTCAAAAATGTTTTTGAAAAATTTTTTTAAATTATTTAAAAATTCAAATTTAAAAAATAAATCATAAAAAATGGGTGAATTTTATTCAGAATGAACCTAAATTTTGAAATGTGAAAGGAAGAATAAAAGACATTTAATAAGAAGAAAGGGATTAATAAATATATACCAAACTTAATTAACATTGAGGAGCTAAAATTTTGAGAGCTAATTTAAAAAAAAAAAAAAAGAAAAACTACTCTTGCAATTTTTACAAAACTTAGTAGTGTGGCATAATTTGAGTTGTAGAATTGAAATATGGGAAAAAATTGGTATGTTATTTCAGAAAAAGTCCAATTTGGTGTCAAAATACCTATATTAGAACAATGCTATATATATAAATCTAATATATATCCTAAGTCGCGCTTTCAAGACATGAAAAACGCAAGTTGAATTTTGTCGATCGGCCCAGTAGAATGGGAGGTATAGAACTGTCCCCCCCTTTTTTTTGTGCAGTGTACATCATTCAGTGTGCTATTGTGATGTACCATTAAAGTTAGCTAAGACAACAGCCACTGTACAGACATAGTTCATAACTCTCTCTAGACAGTGTCTCATTGTATGTACAGACATTTTTTGCCATGCCTCATTTCATATTTCCTGCATTAGAATGTGTGGCAGGGCTGTGCAGTCTATACGGCCATTTGCACAAGATTTCTCAGGCATTTTTGAGCCTGCATGTCCAATCTGTCCTTCCTACACCTGTTGGCTCCAAATTCACTTGGCGGTGGTCAATTGTCAACCTATGCGAGAAGTAATTTGGTGATATAATAATTTTCAATCACAGTGTAAACTTTTTTATGCAGATTGCTGCATCTTCTGTCTTCTTAGCCGAGAAATACCCTATATATCTAGTCAAACAAATAAAGACAATTCTCACATGAAAAAACACTGTTCCTTGTTTTTTACATTGATTCAAAGTGGCTCTGCAGGCACCTGCTGTTTACAGAAGTGCAAGGTAGCTAAATCATTTTCATGTCTTATCATGTTCTATCTGTTATGCAGATTTAACACTTTTTAGCTGTTTCCTTTAAAATGCCAGCAGTGCTATTTACTGAAATTCCATCTCCCTAATATTTTATTAAATAAGTGTTTGAAAAATTTTTATTTCATCTCAGGTCAAAATATTTTTCACACCAAGTGATCATAACATTTTAATAGTTATTCCACTTCTTCTTTCATTTAATTACAGAACTGTATCATATTTTGCTTAGGTATTAACTTTTAGATTTTTTTTTCTTTCTATTAATACAATTTATAATTGGTGTTTAATGACTCCTTCCAGAAATGAACAATAGGATATCTATAGTATTTCTTGCATGTATGGCTTGCACTGCATTGATCAAACAAAGCAAGCTTTGAAATTCACATCAGAGAACATAATTGTTTATTCAAAGAAAAGGAAAGAACTGTATTATGCTTCATTAACTGGAAGACCTGACTCTCTAATTCTCTGCCTCTAAAATACTAAAAAATATCCATAAATGGTTAATCTATAGTATTTCTTGCATGTATGGCTTGCACTGCATTGATCAAACAAAGCAAGCCTTGAAATTTGCATCAGAGAACATAATTGTTTATTCAAAGAAAAGGAAAGAACTGTATTATGCTTCATTAACTGGAAGACCTGACTCTCCAATTCTCTGCCTCTAAAATACTAAAAAATATCCATAAATGGTTAGTTAGGTTTTCCTTAAGGCTTTAAAAGTTAATAATCCAAATTCCAACCTTTGTTTAATTTAACCTTTTCTGCCACGCTACTCACCAAAAAAATTTATAGGCAGTCTATTTAGGCCTAGGAGAGTATGCAGGAATAATTTTACAAAGATTGCACAAACCGTTTCCATTTTGTGGGTGTGTTCGAAGCGAATACACTGAGCCGCATGAGCTGCGATAGGTGAGCATTGCTGTGAAGCACGTATTACAGTAAAATACTTTGTCTATGATTTAAAAACAGTAGAATCTGATCTCTGTAGCAGATTTAGCATAACCCAGGGTGCACCACGGGGAGGCATGCTACTCTACACCCCCCCCAAAAAAAAACGGAATAAAAAAAAGGAAACTCTGATTGCTTTGGTAAAGCTGAGGCCTCTTCGAGCCATTTACACAATTTTAAAATTTATAAGAAAAATAATTAAAGTACTATAATATTTACAATTAATTATTGACTAGAAAAAAATAATTATTAAAATATATATATACAAATAAAAATCTACAGAAATCAGAACTAAGCAAACTATGCGCAATGATGAAAACAAGAGAAATAAAGGGTCTGCTCTCGTTGAAAATCAAATAGCTAAGTGAAAAAAAGGGTCTGCTCTCGTTGAAAAATACCAAAAACAGAAACGAATAAAAACAAATATAAATAAATCTGCACTTTAACCCCCACCCACGGTGTTTGAAGCACAAGACCAGATTCTGTGACTCACTTCCACGTGACAGGCGCTACACTACACTGAAGGCTTCACTATACGCAATATTTCAAAGGTAAAAATTAAAAGTAATACAGTATAGTCAGATTAGCATATGAACAACAAAATTATATAAAGATTTTTTTTCATTGATATTCTTTATATTTAACAAAAATCTGAAACATTTCTTTAAAAATTCAGTGTCTTTAAAAACAGAATATATCTCAACGTTAATGATTTGCTTGTGTGGTGCTGCCATCTATTATTCATAAAAAAGATTAAAAGTAACCATTAGTCTAGTTTTCATGATATTTATTGATTATTTTCAGTGTCTAAAGAGGGAATATTTTTGGTGCGTTCACACCGAACGCACTGCGTTGAAAAGGGTTAAGTTTTAAAGAACTTCATTGTAGTTATTTCTTATCCATTTTTCTAACTTTAGATGACATTAAAAAAAAATGAAGACTGAAGAAAAATGTTTGGATTAACATTTAAAGGCATAGCTATTCCTAATTAGCTAAATTTTATCCGCTTTTGACAAAGTTGTAGTCAGATTTCAAGTAGACTAAAATACTCATCAGAAATCAGTAACTATAACAGACATAGTTGATTTCATGAACTAGATTTAAAAAACTGTTGTAGTCTTCAGATTACAGCTTCTTTGTTAAAGAAGGGAGGAAATGAATTTCATTTATCACTCTCAGTAACATCTAAGAAACAGGATAAAGAACTTACTGAACATCTTTTGCGGTAGTGTTTTACTTTAATTTATATGCCATTTGAAACTTCGTATGTCTAACATTTTCTGTTTATTTTGTTTCAGAGAATTTCTGATTTGATGAAACAGATTGATACTCTAAATAATTTAGTAGAATCTATCAAAAAGAAATTATCAGAAAAAGAAGCAGCAGCACAATCTCTTCAAGAAAATTTGAAGCAAAAGGATGATGAAAATTTACAAATGAAATCCAAGTTAGATCTGGCTGAACAGAAAATTGACATGCTAAATAAAGATAGCAGTGAACATGTTATGTCACTTCAGAATGAATTGACAAAAATTAAAGAAGAGAGTATCAGTTTAAAAAATGATTTAGATAAGGTAACCATCATCTAAATATTATAAGTTTAATGTAAATGGCTACCACTTCTGATGCTTACTCCAACTGTAACAATTATATGTATTATCTCTTACTTTTAGTTAATTACACTGTAATCCCTGTCACGGATTTAGAGCTGAAATTTTTCTTCTAGTACTTGCTAGGCATTGCTATGTTAATGATACAGAATGGTATTGAATGGGGAGTCATATTTAATAGGCTGCATTCTTGTCTAAGCTGTTTAAAAAAGGAAAAGGGAATAAAAACTGCAAATCGATTAAAACAAAAAGTATTGTAAGACTTAGTGTGCTTATTAACATAACACAGCAAATAGTTAAAATATGAGCCTATATTTTCTGTATTATCTTATGGCATATAAGAAGTAATTATTAAATATAAATTTTATCAAATTTATGCTAGAAGATTTTATTCTACATTGCTACATTTAGAAATGGTATGTTTTTGCCACAATCCTTTTTCTTTTTTTAATCCATTGAAATATTTTTAATCAATTTTACTATTCTTCCTACATAATACTGAAATCAGTTATTTTGATTGAAACCTTCTTCTGAGTATCATATAAACACTCATACACAAAAATATTGATATTCCATGAAAATATCCAATCGATGTAATTCATTTTTGCTGGGAATATGTAAAAGACAGGCCTAATTAGCATTATCCAATCAAAAGTGGCAAAATTGTTTTTGATATGCAAATGCTCAAATGCTTTGCACAAAAGGAATATCTGAGTGGGACTCAAAATAGTTTGTTATGCCCCTGAAGTATCATTTGGAAGACAAATTATCAGTCATTTAGAAGCAGGGCAGACAATCATGAAAGCAGTGAGATGTGGGAATATTTTAAGAAAGGTAGTCTATATGCTATGGAAACAATTTCAGAGTCTTTTTTTGGAATTGTTGTAAGGAGATCTGGGCAAGGTCATGAACGAATAACAGCTACTTCTCAAGACCAATATCTGGCAGTATCTGCCTGTCATAAATGTATGTAGTAGTCAACTGCTTGGCAGTTAAGTTCAGAACTTAGACGCCACTGGAACTGTTGTATCCCAGCAAACTCTGTACAGAAATCTTAATGAAAAAGGTCTTTATTCCAAAAAGCGAAGGATATGTGTTTAACTGTGTTCAAAAGAGGGATCTCTTTAATTGGTACAAAGAACAACAGAAATGAGGTGAACACCAATGGTCTCGTGTTCTCTTTATTGATGAGTCAAGGTTTAGTTTAATATCTGATTGTGATGATTAAAACATGTTAACATCTGGAGGCAGATAGGAATGCAAAATCTTCCTGCTAACATTATGGGACATGATGTAATGCAGGTGTGATGGTATAGGGAGGAACAATGATCAAGGGAATATATGTCCCTACATATTTTTAACTGTGGATCTGTGACTGGCCATGGATATCAGAATGTCTTAGAACCTTAAGACTTTCAGGAGTGCATATGGATCTGACTTACAAAATCAAAATAACTGATTTAATGTTCATCTATAAAGCAAACTTCATTGATGAATTCTTTGAAAGGGAAGACATCGAGCGATTACTTTGGCCAACAAAATCTTCTTATCTTAACCTGATAGAGGACTTACAGGACTACCGTGGAAAAAGGGAGCAAACTTCTCTTAGACATGCAAATGCCCTTAAGATTGAATTGATGGAGCAGTGGAATTTAATTCCCCAAACTGTGGATAACAACATTGCCAACATGAAAACAGGTTGTGATATGTGCACATAAGTCAGAGGAGGTCATGTCCCATATTCGCTTCATAAGCCTTAATTTTTTCTGAATTCTGCTTATAATATATTATTACCATTTTTAATGTCTTGTTCTAGTTTTACGTCACATGCAGTGCTCCTAATTTTTTTATTGTGTTATTTATGTGTATCATTCCACACAAATTCATAAATTTGTACTTCTTGGGAGGGATGCCATTAAGTGATTTGATTTATTCTTAACCACAAGATAATGTTTAAAATTGAGATTTCCTTTTCAATCAACATAATGTTCTTAAAAATGTAAAGTAAAATAACTCAAATATGCAAGTGAAGAGCTAGGAGCGAACACTTTTCTTTCTTTTTTCCTTTCTTTCTTTCTTTCTTTTTTTTTTTTTTTTTTTTTTTTTTTTTTGTGAAATATGCAAAGAAACATGAAAAGTTTGTTGAGGAGGGAATCTAAAAAAAGTCAGAATGGGCTTAGATTTTAATGATCGCCTATAATTGAGATTATCAACAAACCAAGGTGGAATAGGGAAACATTTCATACAAAATCCATTATTTCTTAGATGTGAAAATAATTTTCTACGTGAGTGTATGTTAATCTTGCATAACTTTCTGACTTCATGTTTTGATTTTTATTAATTTATATATATATATAAAAAGTAAGAAATTTAGAACTAATTTTTCACAAAGACCAGAATCTGAAATTCATAATTAATAAATTAGACTGCTTATGAAAAAAGGAACGAAATTTAGACCTATTAAATTCATTAATAAATTGCATAGAAATTGCATAGAAAATATTTCTACAAATATTGATAATTTCATCTTGAAAATTAGTTCTCAATTTCATTTACCTTCACATCTATTTAAAGAATGGAAGAATGAGATTATTACTCAAAGCAAAAAGAAAATTGAGAAAAATTCAAGGATTTAAAGGAATTAAAAACTGGAAAAATTTTCTTCTGAAATTTTCACAATTAAAAAAGCAGTTTACGATAGCAAAAATTTATAAAGCAAACAATAATTTCAGTATTTTGTGGAAAAAATTCTACAATGATATAATTGAAAATGAACTAAAAAATTCTTCTACCTAGAGTATCTGCAAAAATAAAGAAAGAACTGTTATTAACAAAATTTCTGCCTTTCACGAAAACAAGGAGAATATCTCTCTTCATTACAAATAACAGATTTGCCGGTCTTCTATGCCTTGCCAAAGCTTCATAAAAATCCTGTAAAATTTAGATTTATAGCCAATAGTACCAGAAACTTCAAGAAGAATTTTGATAATGTTTTTACCAATCAACTTAAATCTATTTGTAAAGTAGTTTTTGAACAAGTTAAAGAAGACAAAAGCTTCTGCTGGATTATTTATGTCAACTCTAAAATCATTGAAGAAATTTAAAATCTTAAAATTTACAATATTAACCGCTATGACTTTGAAAACCTCTACACAGCCCTGCCACTCCAAGAAATCTACAAAAGGTTTTTTTTTTAAATGGCAGAATTTTTTCCGGAAATACTGAATATTCTGAATTTACAAAAAGTGGAAAGAATTTCTATATTTTTCGCTATTCTGAATGTTTAACTATATTAAACATTCAGAATTTCTTTACTTGCAAACACAAAGAATTGTAATGGGAAGCTATATTCCACTCATATTTTTAACCCATTTCTATTTTCTAAGGAATTTAAATTCCTTAAGAGCCTTTCTAACCATGATTTCAGTAAATTTGAACACACTTATAGATATATTGATGATATTATTACTTTGAACAATTTTAATCTCATTGAAAACAGCAACATCTACCCAAATAGTCTAAAACTCAAATAAAAACCAAACAAGAAATAATATATCTTTATCTAAATATTTATTCATAAACTAACGGAAATGAAACTTTTTCATAAAAGATTTTAATTTTTCTACTAATAAACTTATAAATTGGAATTCTAACATATCTAAAAAAGTTATTGCAAATACTATTTTTAACCAAATTAGTAGAATTAAAAAAGTTTACACTAAAATAGAAACACAAAAAGAAGAAGTTCTAATTCTTACCAAAATTTTAAAAAGATAATGAAATTCCTTTAAAATTCATTAATAGTATATTAAAGAAATCTGGATTAATGTACTTTTAAAAGAATGAATTTTTTATCTGAAAGCTCAAAAAGAGAAGGATAATGAAGGATGTTTTAAAGGGTATATAGGATATTTTTTTAATTACTATTCTGTTACTAAGCATGGCCTTACATATATTCAAAGTTGTCATGATAAGCCCATGACGAGAAGACTTTTCTAACATAATTCCATTACTTCATTTTTCAACCTTTTTACGTAATTTTAAATTGCAAAATTAAAAAACTAAAATTCAACCTTATAGATTTTTTTTTACTCATATCTACAAAACCAATTATTAAAAACATTTTGATCACTTTTTGGGCAACTTATTGAGTCTATATTTTAAGGATTAATTGATTTTAAAATTTAATTTTAATTTTTCACTAAATAATTTTGTATTCCCATTTTTGTTTTAAAAGAGTCTGAATTTACTTAAATTTCATTCATTTAATATGCAATATTTTTCTTTGCCTGAAATAAATATAAATTGTCATTGAAATATTTAAAAGTTTTTCTTTGGGTTTCAAAATTACATCTTTCGTACTATATTTTAGCCTTTTGAGTGATTACTTTCTCACCAAGGTTTTTTATACTTTCGCCAATGAAACCAAAATGGCAAACCTGTACGTCCCTACTGTTACACATCTCATAATTTAGATTGGTGTCTAATGAAAGTGCTTAATTACTTCTTGTGTGTTTTAATTAGGTTTATTTCAACTATGTTTTTTAATTTCACTCACATTTTAGTCTTTAGATTATCTGTTTAAAGGTAAACATTTGGATTTAAATTTTTCACTGAAGTATTTTGTTTTTTTTTGCCTTTCATTTTCATTTCTTTTAATGAAATAGAATTCTCGTTATTTAAAGTTATTCTAATTAGAATTTACTTTGTTTTTTCCTTGCTTTGGGGAAGGGCCAGAATTTTGGGTGAACTATTATAATTAAAATACATTGAAGTGGTTCATTGGCTAATTTTGGGTACAGAAAAACAAGGATTTTTGTAGAAGAGAGATTTCAATGTTCCTCCCTCCCCCCCTTACGAAGTACTGCTGAAGTTAATTGAATTCCTCTTCTGTTTTTGTTCATTTTTCTTTAATTTTTTTTTAAATGGGGTTTTGCTTGTTTGAAAAGTTTTGGTTTTAATTTTTTTTTAAATTCTTTGTTGCATTTATAAGATTATTTGAAATTTCTTATTATGAATTTCAATTTTTTGGTTTTTCTGAAAAATTAGTCCTAAATTTCTTATTTTATGTCTTTAATGATAATTTTTTCTGGAGCATAAAAATACTAGACATGATTAAATTTTTTTTCAAAAAATTGTTTTGTAATTATATATATATATATTCAGTACTAAATCTGAAATTTGGATGTCCAATATCCAGGATGATCTAAATATCTGACCTCAGAACCACCAAATGAAAATAAATAAATCAAAATAATAAAAAAAAATATCTAGGCTTGGAAAATATTAATTAAAACAGTCTCAAACTGGCAGCCTGCAAATACATTCCAGTTGTATATTTGTCTAGAAATACGGTGTTGCAAAACTTTCAAGATTTTAGTTATTTGAAGTCTGAGTTTACATTATTTTCATTACCATTTAAAAAGTACATAAATAACGCAGGGGAAAATCTCTAAATGGAGCTAATTAATTTACAGTGTAATATAAATCTTATTCAAATGTTTGAAAATACGTATTTTATTAATTTTTGTTCGTACTTGTCAAAAAAAAAAAGCTCAGCTATGAATTTTTGCACTTAAGAGTCATTTTGTTTGTGAATACATTTATATGTAAACATATTTTAGTTGAAAATTTAATAAGAAAAGAACCCACTAGCACAGTTGACCAATAAGCATCTACAATCTTTGATGAAGATAATTTCTAGTAATTCTATCCAAGATTGTCAGACTTGTAATGCCATCATTAGTTAGTCTAATGTAAAAAAAAAAAAAAAAAAAAAAAAAATGTTTTTAAATAAATGTTAGTTTGAAAATTTAATGTCTAGTTGTCAGTATATTTGAATTACAAAGTGACAAAATTGTCTTGCAAGCACTAAACTTTAGATTTCAGATAGAAAACAATTTTTTCTTTCCAATATTATCAATTGTATGTATGCTCTGATAAAATTTTGTAAGTGAAATATTTTTAGTTTTTATTTTGCTAATAAAAAATTTTCATTTTGTTTTAAAAAAATACTCACTCATCAGCTGTTTCAGCATTGGGCCCATATACAGTTTAAGTCCGAGAACCCTGGATTAAATTGCCTGCTTCCTCAAGAAAAGGAAGCAGGTGTGCCATAAATGGATTTTTCTCTGGAGTAACTGGCATTCCTGTATGTCACATTCAAAAACTTGGTGTCTAGGGGAGTGGCACAGTGGCCAGCAACAACCTTATATATATATATGTGTGTGTGTGAGAGAGAGAGAGAGAGATTTAAAAAAAAATCATTAAGAGAAAAATTTTACTTGTATAAATTCTATGTGTAAATTTAAGTTAAAAATTTAATCTACATTTAACAGGAACTGACTAAAGCTCAGCAAGAAAAAGAAAATATGTCTGCCATCATCACTGAAAAACAATATATTCTAAAAGAAAAAGAAGTAGCTTTCTGTTCTCTGAAAAGTAAGTTAGAAGAGAGAGAATGTGATATAACTGAACTATCTAAGCAGTTGAAAAAGTTGAAAGAAGAAATGAGTAGCACTTTAAAATCTAAAGAAGAAGTATTAGTTTTGCATCAGGAAGAACTTTTAGCAACTTCTGCAAAATTTCAGACTGAGTTGGAAAAGAAGGAAGAGGTATAGAAAATGTTTCCTTGTAATGTACTTTTGTGTATGCATTTAATTTATTCAGTGTATTTTTAATGCATAGTTTTAGCTGTCACAGTTTCAATAAAAAAATTAATCGGTTGGAATTGAATTAAAAAGAAGTGATCTTTGTTTTTGGTTTCAGTAAAAGTATAAATTTTTGTGTTTAAGCAAACTATTACACTTTCCTCAATAATATATTATTTGACTATTGATTTGATATATATATATATGTGTGTGTGTGTGTGTGTGTGTGTGCACGAAAGTGCTATGCATGTTTGTGCTTTGATTTTGTAATTATATATATACACACACATGCACACATATGTAAGGGTCCTTGCCCAGTCTTTATTTTTTGTAGCCAAACTTCCAGTTACAGAAATGTTTTAAATGATGCAATGATATGTTTTCATATTTTTTAACTTTTAAAAATTAATTTTGTATAAAATATGCAATCTAACTTTTTACGGGTTCCTTCAGTCCCTATATTCAGGAAAATTCCATACTCATTATAAAAAATAAAACACAAAAGTTTTGACTCCCATGCAGCAAAATTGATCGAGATATTTAATTTCAAAACTTCCAATATTTGACATCATTTTAAATTTGCATTAAAGGGCCAATTAATAATAAATTATGAAAATTCAAGGTTGATTTTTTTTTTTCTTCCTTAAATACCACCCCCCATTAGATGATATTCTTTTGTGATTTACTAGCCTCTTTGTTTAAAATTTTGTTACATTTTGCATATAGAAAGAATTTTCACAAGTAATTTTTAAGTTTTAAAGTCTGAAATTCAACTTGAAGTTTACAATTTAGTAGCATAGGTAGGGAGAGCAAGGGAAGACGTGTCCTTTGATGAAGCATCAGGCAGGCACCAAATTGATGTTACAGAATTTTAGAATGAAATGATTTCCATTCTTGGCAAACAGGAAGGGGTGCAAAATCTTAAGGTCTGCTAAAATTACATTATTTTCATTAAGTCTTACTGCTTTCAAATCTTAATGTGGTAATTAATTGTAAAAAATACAGTAAAGTACAAATATTTTTCATTATTAATGCAATGGTACTGAAGCCTGTCTTTGTTTTCTAGAATACAATTTTAATAAAACTCTATGAAAAGGAATTTTATCATTTTCATATTATTGATCATTTCATAAATATTGCCCCTTTTGGGGAAAAGAAAAAAAATATTGATCATTATTTTTCACAATAATCTGCATAGAAATGCTCATCATTTAATCTCTTAATATCAAAAACCTTTTTCTAAGTGGTTTTTATTTTTAGTTATATACAGATGCAAACATTTTGTTCTTTAATTTGTGTATGGCCTCTGAATATGATTCCCAGTTTCTGTATCAAATATCTTGGTTAAATTTTATTGTACAGAAGTCAAACATTGTGTATTTTATTTTTCATAAGGAGTACAAATTTTTTCCATATATAAATAAATATAGGAACCAGAAGAACTTGTAAAAAATTTAGAATTCTTAATTTTTACAAAATTGATTCCTTTAAATTTAAAAATGCCAGAGCATGAATCTTTTTATCTTGTAAAACATTTTTGTAAATGGAAGTATGTGTCTATGGCCAATGGTACCTCACAAGTGCTTTTGTGGACAATGTGTGTGTAAATATACTCATATAATTACACACACACACACTGAAGAGGCAAAACATTATGACCACCTACTCGATAATGTGTTGCACTATCTTTGACTTGCAAAACAACTGCAAGTCACCTTGATGTTGAGCTACAAGTTCTTGGTAGATGACTGGGGACAGGTTGTATTAAATGTATCAATGTAGTTGTCACACAAAGTTGAGATCAGAACATTAATTGGAATTCATTCTTATGCTCCTCAAACCACTCTGACACAATTCAAGCCTTCTGACATGGGGCATTGCCATGCTGAAAAGATTCAGTTTCCAGTTGGCGAAACAGACACCAAGTAAGGGTGCAACTGATCTGCAGTTATGTTCAGATAGTCCACAGCTTTCATTATCTGTTCTTCCATAACAAAGGGTTTCAGAGCTACCCATGGGAGTGACCCCCAAAGCATAATATGGCCATCAGCAGCCTGTGTATGACCTGCTATACAGGGGGGAGCAAATGTTCTTCTGGAAGATGGTGTACTTTGACACAACCATCAATGTGATTGATGATTGAGAAATTGTGTTTCATCCAACTATCTCTCAGTAATCCATGGTTCAATCTTGATGTTCCCGGGCCTACCATAGGCATAGTTGTTTGTATGTGATAATGACAAAGCCCCAAGTGCTATCTGCCTAAGGGAATGGATGCCTTCGTGGAGGACTTTCTAAGGGAAACTGGCTCATATACACATTTCACATGGGGAAAACCACGAAAACACCCATGCAGCCAGCCTGTTCGTGGGATTTGAACCTCGGACCAAACTACTAGTGTTCAGCGACTTTACCGCTTGGCCACTGGTGGGCCCGTAGGCACTTGGTCAACAGAGGCACACAAGCGGGACGTCTGCTGCACAGTCCCATATCCAACATTATCCACTGAACTGTGTGTTCCAAAACATTTGCACTTGGATCTGTATTGTATTGGGCTGTCAGCGAAACAATTGTACCAGCGAAACATTCTCAGACATCCTTTTTCTTTGATGATGCATGGACATCCAGCACCTTGTCCATCTACTGTTGTTTTTCACTGTCATTTATCCACTTTACATAAATTCTAACAATGGCAGATCGAGAACAACCTACCAGTCGTGCAGTTTCAGAGGTACTCATTTCAAATCTTTGGGCCATTACAATCGGCCCTCTATCAAATTCACTTAGATCAGCACCCTTTCCCATCACTCGCAAAAGTAAGTGCAAGAATGATTACTTTTCCAGCAGCAGTTAAATACCATTCTCACTTAATCGTGGGCCCTTCATTTCATTGAAAAATGTGAGGATGGTTATAATGTTTTAGCTCGTCAATGTATGTGTTAATTACATTCATATATAGATTGCATAATTTCTAGATGATATAAATTTTATTATATACAATATACAATAACTTAATAATAATGTTTGAACACAACAAGATTGACAATGGGAAATGCTCTGAAGGGAGATTGTGTATTTTTTATTTGCTTGTGCAATCTTACAACTACAAATTTCTCTGATAAAACTAGGAGTAAAATACCTTAACTCGTATCACTATATTTTGTATGCTTAATAATAACAAAAGTTTTTTAATGCTATATTTTATTTTTTGAATAATCCATAATCTTGCTGGATTTGTAAAATTATTGAGCTGTTAGCATTTAATTATGGTACTGTTAACATTTTTTTTTTCCTGACTATTATGTAACCAAATTATAAACAAGTTTTTGTCATGTTAATAATATAAAAAATTAGGTATTGTAATGTGTACTGAATGTTGTTGCATTCATAATATAATTTTTTTTAACAAAAGTTAAGAGAATTTGTTTTTGATAGAAAACAATGAGTTCCTCTCCAACTTAGAAGTAAAATTTTATAAAATATTCATAACCTTCACAATAACTTTTTTATTTGTGCCTCTGAAAATTGAAATTCGTGTGACTTCTTCATTTCGAATGCATGTGTGTTTTGCTATTAAAAATAAGGTGTAAAACTTTTCTATTTGTGCCTCCGAAAATTGAAATGCTTGTGACTTCTTCATTTCAAATGCATGTGTGTTTTGCTATTAATAAGGTGCAAACAATATAAAAGTAAAAGGTATGTTTTAAGTTATGATACATATGCATTACTATTTGAATTTTTAAAATTAAAGACTTTATTGATATGTTTTCATATATATTTCAATAGATCTTAAAGAATGTTCAAAACGAATTAGCTAAAAATGCTGAACTCTTAGAGAAGAAAGAGAAAGAGTTGAGTAAACAACGAAATGAAATTACTGCTTTAAGAAACATAGTGAAAGAAAAAGATAGTCAATTTGATGAACTTAGCAGAATGATGGAGGTTTCAGCTGCCCAGTTAGTGAAACTGAAAGAACAGAACGAAAATAACGTTGCTCTTCTACAGAGTAAAGAGACTTTTATTAATGATTTCAAGTCTGAGCAAGAAAGACAGCTTGAGGAGAGTAAACAGGTAATAGCAAAATATATTGTATAAAAAGTAATATAGTAAATAAACAACTTTAGTTATGAAAATTCTCATGTATTTTATTTATTTATTTTTATTTTTGCCTACTCTTACCTTAGTTCTTTAAAAAGGAAATAAGCAAGTTAGAAGAAGATAATCTGCAAAGAAGGGAAGAATTAAAACAAAAGGGTGCAATTATTACTAATCTGACATCTCAGATTTCTGATCAAAAAAAGCAAATCGAACAGTTAACACATGAATTGGAAACTAATAAATCATTCATAGAATCAAAAATGCAAGATACTTCAAAAGTTTATAAAGAACTTAATGAAAAGATTTTAGATTTGGAAGAAAAGTATTCAAAAGTGTTAGCTCAGAAAGAAGAAGTAAGTATATTCTCTTAATGTCTTGTAATAATTTATTGAATTTTGCATTCTATATAGTAGATTATGAACATTTATGTACTTAGATTCTTTTATTTTTGATATTTGCAATGTAAATTTGTTATAATCAGGAATGTGAAATCAGGACAGAAAGGTTTCTGCTTTAATCCACTCTCTTACATATAAGCACTGATAAATATTTTTCTTACAAATGTTTTATGCAATAAGATGATGCTAATGCAAGTATACTTTTTAGATCAATCATTTTCAAAGTTTCAGGCTGTTATAAATGTGTATGATTGCTTATTCATCTTTTACTAATAAAATAAAAGATGCTATTGAATGTTCATGAATTATTTAAAACTTGAAGCGAAATTTTTTTATTGTATTTAAGTGAAAAAATATAAGAAATGCCCTTGAAAAATGAAGGTTATTCAAGTTTAGCAAATAAGGGGAATGTCAAACTGTTATCTCAGAAGTCTTATTGAGTCTGTTATCTGAAATCGCACTTTGATCTAACTTGATTATTAATTAAGGAGAATTATAACTTTGAAAATCTGAAAGGCAGACAATAGTGCTTAAATTCTAATCTACTCGTACTAAATTGTTTCTCACTTCATAACCAAGATTGTAATGAGGGCTTTGTTATAAATATTGCCATCAACATAAACTGAGAGAGAGTTTTTTTCCCTCCATCAGCATTTTATATTATGTATTTTATATTTTGATAATATTAAAAATTATTTTTTACATGTCTTGCAGATGTTTAAAGTAAAGTATTTTCTTATATTTCTCTTCATATTTTAATATTGTTAAAAACAGATTCAATTTTACATTATTGCTGAAAATTATCTGTATTTGCATATAAATAAAATTACATGAACAATCAATCTGATTTATATATGTATTTAATAGAATATTCAGAAAACAAATCTAATTACCTTTATTCAATCAGTCTGCTCCTAAAATGCAAGTAGTAGCACGATATTGTACAAAGGTGTAGCAAACATTGTACACAAAGTCTTTCTCTTGGCAGATTTCTATAATTCTTATTTTCATTTCTAATTTTAGGTCAAAATATTTCTTTATAACTTTAAAATACTGTATGGGAATCTTTGAAGTGGAGAACTGTTCATATTTAGAAACAAGTCAGGCAATTTAAGAAGTGGCAAAATGGTTTAATGATTAAAGATAGGCTGTTTCTGTCCACTGAAAATAATTTAAAGAGAAACAATTATAAAACTTTTATAATTATGAAATCATAAAAGCAGTTGCTTTTCAAAATCATTATCTGTCAATAACTGCTGAACCATCTTAAACTCATCTTGGAGAGTTTGCAGTTACCAGTGGAACTTCTTGTCATGCAATCTATGTACCAGCTTTAAAATCTGTGTAATCTACATTGACATATTTCTGTTCCAATTTATGCACCTAAGGTTTAATTATGATAAAGGCTTTCTGCCAGAAAACCAATGGTATGAGTTTCACTGATCTCCCACCCATGGAGGTAAGGAAGGAAGGAGGGGCCAACTCCGCACTATGTGTAAAGCACTGTTCCGAGGCTTTGTTATATCGATTCAATAGAGCCATAACTGCTGACAGAAGGAGAGGAGGAGGTACTGCCCTCCTTGTTAAATGCTGCATTCCTCATTATCAAATAACAATCCTACAGCTTTTACCCATTAAGGTCACAGTTATTTCCATCACAATAAAGACAGGCACAACATACACTTTTGTCTCTATTTATATACCACCATCAAAGCTCCATACAGTTGTTGAGGCTGATCTCAACACATTACTCACATTTGGCAGACATATAATTATAGATAGAGATCTGAACGCTAGAACCGCGCAATGGAACTGCTGTAACTCTGCTGTAACTGTAACGCTATCAGGGTTACCTGGAAAACCTGTAAAACCGGGAAAAGTCAGGGAATTTGAAAATTGGCTAAAAAGTCGGGGAAAAATCAGGGAATTTAAATATTTTAGTCAAAATATGGAAAAGTCAGGGAATTTCATCCTGAAATCCCCAAAAAAGCAATTTCTGCGCCAGTGTCGGAAGTGATCTCTTTCTTGGGGAGCCATGTATCATGTGAATGTCATTCGGACAGCTGACGTGGAGCCGGTTTTCTCAGAGCCAATCAGATTGTCTTTTAGAAAGACAAAGCAAGTTACCAGCATCTTTGGTTTCCAGTAACCTCGAAAATCCAGATATTCGTATGTGCAGTGCAAGTTGAACGAAAGTAAATTCTCCCAATTCTCATATGAAACAAAATCTTTTTAACCTTTCTTCTTTCTTAAATGCCTTATTTGTCATTTGCAGTAAAAAATAAATAAAAATAATAATCATCATTGGGCTAAACTATTTACTGTATATTCACCAAAATCCTCGATTTTGTCATTCAGTTTTTACCACGTATGAACTTTATATCAATGTTATTCAATGTAAACTCTTCTTCGCTTTATTTTTATTAGTTAGTAATACTTTCAAGTTCAGGAAATTTCTCTGGCATACTTGTGAAACTAATTTAGCAGTAATATGATGTACATCACGAAATTTAGTGCACATTTTTACTTATATATGCTGCTAAATAAATAAAAACATCATTAAATAGATTTCTTTCTTCCTTTAGCGGAAAAATGTCTGCAGTAAAGACATTTTACAATCTCGATTGGGCAGATTCTAATCTCAGTCCTCAGAGGGGGAAACAACTTCTAATTGGGGATATATATTATATAAAGTCATATGTAACTGGCAAATTTTTGTGTTTTCAAGTGGTACCATAATTAATTTGTGCTCAGCAAAGCCAATATGCACTATGCACAGGGTTCGTACGGTCCTTAAAAGTCTTTAATTTTGGCCAAAATGAATAAACGGTCCTTAATTTTGCTCATTTGACTTTCTTATCATTTCTAATGATTGCCATTCTAAGTTGAATTGCGATTTCTCAGAATAGGAATTAAAATTACAGGCTTTTAACAATCTGTTGGCGGATTTGCGTTGCAAACGATAAAAAAAACAATTAGCTACCGAACGAAAGTATGACTTCTATCATTTCTAATGATTGCCATTCTAAGTGTGAATTGCAATTTCTCATGAATATGAAATTAAAATTACACGACTCTTAACCAATCTGTTGGCGGATTTGCGTTGCAAACGATAAAAAATTAATTACCTAGCCTAGAATGAAAGTATCGGGGTCTGATTGGCTATTCACCCAATGTTTTGAAACAGGTGTTATCCATAAATTTAGGCAGATTGTGACGAAAGCGGGAAGTTCTTTAAGAGGCGAAAATGATGATGAAGGTGCTCGAAAAAAAAAAGGGGGGATTCTGAAAATATTTGCCAAAATTAGACAATCCACCTGTAAATCAGGAATACAACTCCTTGCGCAAAACATCCGTCAAAATGCCACTAATACAGTATCAGATGAAACTAATTCTGACCAGCATATTCAATAAGTCAGATTCGCTTAAACTTTGTTATTGGAATGCTGCTGGCATTGTTAAAACAAAAATTGATGAACTTTCGGACTTTTTTATAGAATATAACATAGATATTGGCATGATCTCTGAAACTCATGTTGTTCCTGCCGATAGACTGTATATATGCTAATTATCGCACCTACAGAGGTGATAGACTTTCCACAAAGAAGAGGAGGAGCTGCAATTTTTGTTAAAAACTCTCTGCAATCCTGTCTTGTCTCGACAAACTCTGCTTCTGGATTCGAAAGTGTGACTGTTGCTGTTATACTTCCCACAATTTGGTACCATCCATTTTACGGCTATTTATAATCCACCACGAAATCGACTTTCTGAAAATATGTTAAAAAACTTACTTCCTGAAGATCAGCAAGTTATTATTGCCGGAGACATGAATGCTAAGCACCTCGAATGGGGATGTCGTCGTTCTAACACCAATGGACGTATTATGCATAATTTTATCTGCAATCATCCTGTCGCATTACATGTACCTTCTGAAGCCACTTATCGTCCTGCCTCTCCAAATCTCTCGGACATCTTGGATATTATCCTTACAAATACTTCTATCCCTATTTCCTTGGAAGTCAAGGCAGAACTTACATCTGATCATGTACCTGTCATTGCTTCTCTTGGTGTTTCTAAAGAAGACCCTCCTATTACCAGAAATAATACTGACTGACTGGATTACTTTTCACAATATCTTAATCAAACATCCTCCTATTTTCACTTCACTTTCTACCAAACAGGATATCGATCTTGCCATTCAAATCTTCACTGACAGTATACTGAAAGCTTTCAGAGATGCTACAGTTACCATTCAATTAACTAACAATAATATTCGACTTCCTCGCAGTATCAGAGACATTATCAAAGAAAGAAACCGATTGCTTGAAGCTTTGGCACCGTAACTGGGACCCTGCCCTTAAAAGAGAAATCAATATTTTTAATAGAAGAATCAAGAAACTTATCACTGATTTTAAAAAGGAAACAAGAGAAGATTTTATATCTAAACTTAATATTAATGATGGTTCTCTGTGGAAGTATCTTCAAAATCTTAAAAGAAGTAGTATTAATAATAGACCTATTCATACGGATACTAAAATTGCCTACTCACTTAAAGATAAAGTCGATATTTTCGCTGAATACCTGGAAAAGCAGTTAGTTTACTCCTAATATGGAGCCTATGAATCAGACCTTTAAAGATGTTCTCGAAAACTATGTGTATTCCTGGCTTCATTCTTCTTCGGCTCATAACATCCCAAGGCTTACTTCTCCTATGGAAATTACTATATTATTAAATATCTCAACATCAAAAAAGCTCCTGGAAGTGATCAAATTACAAATAAAATGCTTCGTAACTTACCTAGAAAAACTTATCAGTAAATTCGCTAGTATTCTCAACGCTTGTCTTACTCTCAACTATTTCCCTGATCCTTGGAAGCAAGCCAAGATCTTTCTTCTTCCCAAACCGGGTAAAGATGTGACCAAGCCTGATGGCTATCGTCCTATCAGTTTGTTATCCAGCCTTGGTAAAATTTATGAAAGACTTATTCTCACTAGATTGGAACCTTTTCTTCACCTGCTACCTAATGATCAGTACGGATTCAGAAAAAAACCTCAGTACTACTCGACAACTAGTAAGAATTGTAGAATTTGTGGGATCTGCATTCCATAACAAGCAAAGTGTTGCGCTCCTTATGCTGGACGTGGCAAAAGCCTTTGACCGCGTCTGGCATGAGGGGCTCGTCTTCAAGCTTATCAACTTGGGACTTCCTAGAGAGCTCATTCTTCTGATCTTCTCCTTTTTGCAAAACCGCACTTTCTTCGTCGCTCAAGGAAATGAAAAATCCAATTCAAGACCTATAAGATCCAGCGTCCCACAAGGAAGTATTCTCGGTCCAGTACTATATCTTTTCTACATATCAGATTTTCCTCACCCTGGTTTGGACAATTACTCTCTGTTAGCATGTTATGCCGACGATACGGCGATTGCAATTAAATCCATTCAAGCTAATCATGCAATAGACAAAATGCAAAATTACCTCTATGCCGTAGAAGACTGGTGCACAAATTGGCGAGTAAAAATCAATGCTAGCAAGTCACAACTTTTAATTCTTAGCAAAACTAAGAAAAAAAATTGCTTTTAAAGACCTCTACCTTTTTCAGGAAGCTGTTCCTCTGGTCACAAAGGCCAAATACTTAGGAATTATTTTGAACCAAAGGCTCACATGGTCTAATCACATTAATAGTGTCAAGAGCAAAGCCATGGGCATAATATGCAGATTTCTCCCGGTCATTGGAAAATATTCAAATCTTAGCTTGCGTACCAAA